ACACTTCACGAGAAAAAATCACAAAACTTTCAGCGATTAATGATCCTGCTGGCCCCAACTCAGCCCATGCCTGATCAATTTGATCCACTGAACGCAGTACAAATTGACCTTTACCATCATAACCACCTGTCGCAGTTTTAAGTACGATTGGTAAGCCTAATTCGCTTACTGCAAGCTTAAGCGTCTCCAATGAATCGACTGCTTTATACGGCGCAACAGGAATTTCCAGCTCATCAAATAAAGCTTTTTCAGAAAGGCGATGTTGTGCGATTGCTAAAGCTTGGCGTGGCGGATACAGATCTTTTTGCTTGGTTAATACATCAACATCAATCAATGGCGTATTTTCAAATTCCAGACTAAAAACATCTGCACTGGCAATAAAATCTTGTAACCCATTTTCAGCTTTGGTGCTAAAAACTTGTCCCAATATTGCAGATGGACAATCAGCATCAGCTTCAAAAAATGTGCATTGGATATTTAATGGGAGCGCAGCTTGCGCCATCATACGGCCGAGTTGACCACCACCAAAGATACCGATGGTTTTATTCATAACCTGTGTCCCGTTTTTAAGCTTGACCCGGAATATTTTTACTTGCCACTTTATCGGTTTGAGCGGCACGGAAATCTGCAACATTTTTTGCAATTTCAGGGCGAGTTAAACCTAAAATTTGAGCAGCCATGATTGCAGCATTGGTTGCACCCGCAGGGCCAATTGCCAAAGTGCCAACTGCAATACCTGCAGGCATTTGTACAATAGACAACAAAGAATCAACGCCATTTAAAATTGAAGATTTCACAGGAACACCCAGCACAGGCAAATCTGTTTTTGCTGCGCACATTCCTGGTAAATGTGCTGCACCACCAGCACCAGCAATAATCACCTGAATACCACGTTCACGTGCTGTTTCAGCATATTCAAATAAGCGGTCTGGCGTACGATGCGCAGAAACTACTTCGGCTTCAAAAGGAACACCAAGCTGTTTCAGCATATTGGCAGTGTTTTCGAGAGTTGCCCAGTCTGATTGAGAACCCATAATAATTCCAACGAGAGGAGCGTCTTGTACAGCGGCCGCATTCATTGCATATATTCCATAAACGAATGTAAGGAAGTTTAAATACTGGTGATCAGTGTTTAAATGAATATCAAGAAGCTCGCTATTATAGACTGATTTTTCATCTCACGAAAATTTAACAGACGTAGGAAGTCAGTTTTTTTTTAAAGGAGCAGCCTAAAAGCCGTTTAACTTGAGAATAATTATGATCTCGAACTCATAAACAGCTGGAAAATTGCTAAAGATAGGGACATGAGATGAATATGCTGTCTGAGTAAAATCCTTGTTAATTCACACCATGGCAACTCATTTACTGGCTTCTAAACACAAAAAACACGCAGCCCATTAAACATAAACCCGCCCATAAATAATCTAATTTAAATGGTTGTTTAAACAAGAAAATCATAAATGGAACAAACACCAACAGTGTGACCACTTCTTGGGTGATTTTCATTTGCCCCAACGACCAACCATGTTGCGCCAATAGACGTGTTGCGGGAATCATAAAGCTATATTCAAGTAAGGCAATGATCCAACCAAACAAGATCGCTTGCCACAGTGGTGCATCATGTAAGAATTTTAAATGCCCATACCAAGCCAAGGTCATAAAACAGTTGGAGATAATTAGTAATAAAAGGGGGAGAGATAAAGCCATATTGATACCAATTAAATTATCAAGATATATTTTTGAACATTCAATGTCTGAACATTAAAGCGCTAAGGCAATTTTTTTACGTTTTTTGAAATAATAAATGAGCGAGCCTATTTCCAAAGTACCAAACAACAATACAGTATCGAATACTTGTTTCAATAGCGATTGATCATCATAAAATGAGCTCAATAGACCAATTAAAGCAACCCAAATGAGATGAAAAATTAATCCATTTTTTAATTTGTGATCTTTTGAGTCTTTTGTATTGAGGTATCCCATCCAAATAAACGCAAAATATTGGAAGAAGATTAAAATTACAGCTGCGACCATTAAATGTATGGATATTATTTTTGCAATGCCTGCTATCAAAGCAGAAACAATAATCAAAAAAATAAAATACGCGATATTTTTAATCAGCAGAAAGATAAAATCATGTATATCCATTTTTAATAGATAATTCAGAGTGTTCAATCGATATTAGCATTGATAGAAGAATAAAAATACCAAGTGAGAGTTCATTATTTTCAATAAAAACCCACCTTTAAAATCGTAACAAGAAAAACTATCTTTTCGCCTTAACCCTTGCTATCGTTGCTTTCAAATCAAATGAAACGGCTACACCACAACAACAAAGTGATGTGTCTATAAAAGCACTGGAGTTAACACGAATGCATCTGCATATTTTGGGTATTTGCGGCACCTTTATGGGTTCATTGGCGCTATTGGCGCGTGATTTAGGACATAAGGTCACCGGTTCAGATGCGAACGTTTATCCACCGATGTCGACCCAACTCGAAAATGCTGGCATTACCTTAATGCAAGGCTATGACCGTAGTCATTTACAACCACATCCAGATCTTGTCATTGTAGGCAATGCAATGAAGCGTGGTATAGATGCGGTGGAATATATGCTCAATGAAGGTTTAGCATATATTTCAGGTCCACAATTCCTTGCTGACCATGTATTACAAGGCAAACATGTGCTTGGTGTTGCAGGCACCCATGGTAAAACCACCACAACAACAATGCTGGCTTGGGTACTGGATCAAGCGGGTTTAAATCCTGGCTTTTTAATTGGTGGTGTACCTTTAGGCTTTAGTGAAAGCGCACGTTTAGGTGGTGGAAAATACTTCTGTGTAGAAGCAGATGAATATGACTCTGCTTTTTTTGATAAACGCTCTAAGTTCGTACATTACCATCCAAAAACTACGATTTTAAATAATCTTGAATTTGACCATGCCGATATTTTTGATGATCTAGCAGCGATTCAAAAACAGTTTCATCATTTGGTTCGTACTATTCCAAGTGAAGGTCGTATCATTGCCCCTATTAGCGAAACCAATATCGATGAAGTGTTGCAAATGGGTTGTTGGACACCTGTCATAAGGACTTCACTTGATGCCAATAACAGTGCTGAAGTTTATGCTGAACAGCTTTCTACGGATGGTTCACATTTTAAAGTACTTCAACACGGCGTAGTAAAAGGTGAAGTGAAATGGAATATGACAGGACAACACAGTGTTGCCAATGCTTTGGCAACCATTGCAGCAGCTGAACATGTCGGTGTTTCAATTGAAACAGCATGTGAAGCCTTATCGAATTTTGGTGGGGTGAAACGTCGAATGGAATTACTTGATACTGTAAATGGTATTGAGATATATGATGACTTTGCCCACCACCCAACTGCGATTGATACAACACTTGAAGGTGCACGTAAACGTTTAGGTAAGCGTAAGCTTTGGGCGATTATTGAACCTCGTTCAAACACCATGCGTATGGGCAGTCATAAAGATGGCTTGGCACATTCTGCACGTCTTGCAGATGAAGTGATGTGGTATCAACCTGAAGGTTTGGACTGGGATTTACAGCCGGTCATTAACGCTGCAAGCAATAAAGCCGTTGTGGCTCGTACACTGGATGACATTATCAGTACCATCGTTACACAAGCAGGTGAGGGCGATGCTGTGGTGATTATGTCCAATGGTGGTTTTGGTGGATTACATCAAAAATTGATTGCAGCATTAAAAGCAAAATAAGCCAAAATAAAGTGTAAAAAACCCACAAATTTTTGTGGGTTTTTTATTGATTTACTGTAGGTGTCTTTTCAATAAATTTAAAATCCTTAAGCTTGACCCAGCCTTCGACTAGATCATCTTCTATATTTTGATTTGGATCATTAGATATCACATAAACCCAGTCTTGTTTTTTTCTGTCTTTATAGATTGAATAAGCCGTGACATTATCATTTTGAAGCACAAAAGTATCATTCATCTTACAGATGTTTTTGGGTGCTGAATAAAAATAAATACGATGTTTAGATTTGCCTAACAACTCCCAACGTGGCTGTATTTCTTGCTCTTTTTTATAGGTGTGTATATTTAATTCAAAACAACTCATTGCTAAACTGAACGATGAACTGCTCAATAACAATACAGTGATTATCATTTTTTTAAACATGTTTAATCTTCTAACCGAATCTGAATGACCCAATGAGCATTGGGCACACAATAAAGCTAAGCTTTCACATCAACAAAACTTTTATCCCGTCTAAACATGACTTCGACATAGGAACAAGTTGGTACAATTTTAAGCTGCTTTTCACGTGCAAATTCAACCAAAGTATCCAACAACTGACGCGCAATTCCTTGACCACGTAAGGAGTCATCTACCCAAGTATGGTTCGCTATGATCTGATGCTCACCATGCCATAAATAACTGATCTCAGCAATTCGCTTACCTTGCTCATTATCGAAGTAAAATTCACCTTTTTGTTGATTATCTACATGTTGGAATTGCATATATTCTTTCTCATGGATTTTCTATAACACAATTCCACTGTAGCAAAGCAAACTTAAGATTTCAAAACATCATGAATCGATTGATCTTTATCAAACACTGATTTTGAAAAAGGGCAGAGTGGAATAATTTTCACATTCTTTGAGCGAGCCATCTCTACAACTTGATCTAATAATTTCCGACCTACACTTTGACCACGCAATTCATCTTCTACAACTGTATGGTCAATAATCAACATATTTTCACCCGCCCATGTGTATGCCATTTCAGCCAAATGGTGACCTTCTTCACCAATATAAAATTCACCTTTTTTACCATCATCTTTATGTCTGATTTCTAACATTTTATTTACTCTTATATACGTTTAAATTTATAGGCCTATTCAAAATGCCATAACTATATTTGAATTATTGTTAAATTTTGTCTGACAGTTTTATTTTTGATACAACAAACTTAGCTTAACTTTATCCACAATTCAGCCTAAAATTTAGTGCTAACCTTTTTTAATATTGACCATGTCTGCCTTATCTCCCCAAACTCCAGCACCACAATCTGCCCCCAGTGAATCCCAGCAATGGATCAGTGTGATTAGCCTTGCTTTCGCAGCATTTATTTTCAATACCACAGAATTCGTTCCTGTTGCTTTGCTGAGTGACATTGGAAAAAGCTTTGCGATGCCTGCAACTGATGTTGGTATCATGATTACTCTATATGCATGGGTTGTTGCACCCATTTCATTGCCGATCATGTTATTGACCAAAAATATTGAACGGCGCTTTTTACTGATCATTCTATTTATGGTTTTTGTGGCCAGTCATGCATTATCTTATTTTGCATGGAGTTTCGATGTACTCTTGATCAGTCGAATTGGTATCGCATTTTCTCATGCTTTATTTTGGTCAATCACTGCATCACTGGCAGTGCGAGTCGCACCCAAAGGTAAAGAATTTCAAGCTTTGGGGCTATTGGCCACAGGTACAGCATTGGCGATGGTTTTAGGTATTCCATTTGGACGAATGATTGGTGAATCTTATGGTTGGCGTAATACTTTCGCTTTAATTGCAATTGGTGCGGCTATAGTTTGCGTCATCTTAGCCAAAACATTGCCACGCTTACCAAGCGTCAATTCAGGCTCTCTGAGTAGTTTAAAGGTATTTTTAAAACGCCCAAGCCTGATGATTGTTTTTGCTCTAACCATTATTGTGATTACCGCGCAATTTACCGCATACAGTTATATCGAACCTTTTGCTTTGAATGTTGCGCATTTTAGCTCGACACAGACCACAACCTTATTATTGATCTATGGCGCAGCGGGTTTCTTTGGCTCTTATTTATTCGGTAAATTTGCCAAAAAATATCCAAAACTTCCGATACCGTTAAGTAGTGCGATATTGGCTGTTTCGATGTTATTGTTGACTTCACTGAGTACTGATTTTACCAGTTTTAGTCTACTGAGTTTATTTTGGGGCATGGCGATTATTTGCTTTAGCTTAGCTCAACAAGCCAAAACCTTAGCTTTAGCTTCTGATGCCACTGATGTCGCAATGGCGATTTATTCAGGGCTCTATAATGTGGGTATTGGTGGCGGCGCTTTGCTTGGTGGCCTAGTGACCACCAGTTATGGGCTCAATCATATCGGCATCGTTGGCGGTATAATCGCTGTTCTTGGGACCCTGTTAGCTTTAGTGCTTGTACAACGTAAAGATTTTATTCAAAAAAATAGGGTCTGTTGACAATTCGTCTACGTTTGCGACTACGTGTGTTTTTTAGGCGATACTAGGCGCGAAATACGAAATTTAGTCATTCTAAATAATGAGAAACATCGTTTCGCAAGGTAACACGTAGCGGCAAAAAACACACTAGTCCCGAAGGGTTGTGGTTAAAATTATCTCAGCCTTCGTTATGAAACTCGAAAATAGACCCACTATTCTCTTCGTTTAATGCCTTGCCTGCTCAATTTTAACCTTCAACGCAAGCCATTTATGAAATGCCAACAGACCCTAAATATCTTTTTACAAGTTTTAAAGTGACATACTGAGTTAAAAACTTTAACTTAATTAAATTACTTTGATAAAACAATGATCATCAATGCAACCAATCATTTTATTTAAATTATTAACCACCACACTGCATCGGCAGTGTGGACGTATACATTTAAAATAAAATGTAGAAACCAACCCTGCCAATGAGCGGGGTTATTTTTTGCTCCGTGATTTGGTCAATATTTACGGAGAAACTCATGTCTGAGTATCACAATAAACAAGCCTTACTCGTTATTGATCTACAAAATGGCCTATTTCATGCACAGCATCCTCCATTTCAAGCTGAGCAATTGTTGAAAAACGTCAATCAGCTCATTGAATATGCGCGTGTTAAACACATTCCGATTTTTGCGATACGTCATGTTGGTTTAGCTGGCACAGGACTCGCACCAAATAGTCCAATGACTCAACTCATTCCTGAATTAAATATTGATCCCAATACAGATTACCTCTTAGAAAAAACACGGCCAAATTGCTTTTTCCAAACAGATTTAGCACAACAATTAGAATCTTTAAATGTTGAAGAAGTGATCATCTGTGGTTTAAAAACTGAATTTTGTATCGATAGCACAAGCCGTGCAGCAAAAGACTTAAATTATAAAGTGACATTAATTTCAGATGCGCACAGCACAAGAGATTCAAAGGTTCTCAATGCGGACCGTATTATTCAGCATCATAATTCAACGCTCAATCAAGCTTTTGTTGCGCTAAAAACCAGCGCTGAATTTTGTACATAAAATAAACTACATAAAAATACATTCAAAATTTGCACATTTTTAATAAATATGCGATTCTGACTAGATATTAAGAAATGAAAGATTTCTTACACAGTATATTGAACAAGGGGAGTAGCCTCCTTTATCAGAATATCGTCATTACGCTTTGAAAAAAGCCGGTATCTGAGCATTTGAGATTGATGTACATAACTCAAATGTAGGCAAGACCTTGATCATGTTGACACAGATGTTTAATCATCTGGCAACAGGTCAAGGTTTTTTTATGCCTGATTGCCAGATTCGGAGAGTTTTATGGAAACTATTGGCAATCCATGGCTGTATCTAGCGTTCTTCGCTATTGTTATTGTCATGCTACTGATCGACTTTTTAGGCTTTAAACAAAAAGAAGGGCAAGAAGTCAAAATTAAAACTGCTGCCTACTGGAGCATTGCATGGGTCAGTGTTGCAGCGTTATTTGGTGGTGGTTTATGGCTGTATCTACAACAAACCGCGGGTGTTTCAATTGCCAATAGCAAAGTCATGGAATACTTTGCAGGTTATCTACTTGAAAAATCATTAGCGATCGACAATGTCTTTGTCTGGTTGATGATCTTTGCTGCATTTGCGATTCCACAAGGCTTACAACGTAAAATTCTGCTCTATGGTGTATTAGGTGCAATTATTTTACGTACCATCTTTATTTTTATTGGCGCATGGTTCGTTCAAGAATTCTCTTGGGTGCTTTATCTCTTTGGTGCTTTCTTGGTTTATACAGGCTATAAATTCCTTAAAGGACAGGATGAAGAAGAAACCAATATCGAAGATATGGCTATTCTAAAGTGGCTACGTAAACATATGCGAATCACCCCAAAATTAGAAGGTGCTCAATTCTTTGTTCGTCAAAATGGTGTGTTGTGGGCAACCCCGTTATTACTAGTCTTAATTTTAGTCGAAGCTTCAGATGTAATTTTCGCGGTCGATTCTATTCCAGCGATTTTTGCGGTGACCAGTGATCCATTTATTGTATTAACTGCGAATTTAATGGCGATCTTAGGTCTACGTGCAATGTTTTTCTTATTGTCGGGTGCCGCGTCTAAAATGCATTACTTGCCTTATGGCCTAGGCATCATCTTAGTCTTCATTGGCTTTAAAATGTTAATGCTGGATGTCTTCCATATGCCGATTTGGATTTCGTTAGGTTTCATTGTGATTGTCTTGGCAATTACCGCTTGGCTCTCTATTCGCCATAGCAAAAAGCACCATGAAACAACCTTATAAACACTAGATCAAGCCTTCCAATTGGAAGGCTTTTTTATGCTCAATAATACTCAACGATTTAAATTATATGGACAGTATTGAAATGAAATCTTTATCCATCAGCATAATCATCTGTTGTAATAGCCATCTGTTGTCTTGGAGTATGATCTTCACTATGGTTTGATTTATTTAAATCTGATCCCCTAATCATCCACAACAACCAGCTTTTTCCATCTGGTCAAAAACTGTTTAGCCTGAATCCGTGCTAAAAAAACTGGATAACTGACCGAACGTTTATTCCATCTCAATTTTAATTCAAACAAATCATTTAGCCCAAACGGCGCAATAATTTCGATATCATCATTTTCAAGTAAACGTACTGCAATTGCGGTTGCCGTTTCAACCCATACGGATAAAGCATCGAATAAGGATTGGTATTGAGGGATAGAGCTTCCATCATCTGTTTTATACCACAAATGCACATAGGCTTGATTGACCACATCCCATTCATTATTAGGAAATTTTTGCTTTAACAATTCAGTCAAATGTTGTTCTTTAAGGCCTTGTTGATCATTTAAATCATAGAAAATGACATCGATTTCAATCTGATCAAATCCATAACCCTGATGATGTAAAATAGACCATACCAAGTTACGAATTACACCTGCACTCAAGTATGCATGTGCATGAATATCTCGCAAATACTGTAATCGGAGCATCAATTCAGGGCATGAATAGATGATCTGTTTTAACTGTTTAGTATTGTCCATTGTTGTCTTATTTCACCATTTTCCAAGACTGTAGCGATTGTTGCTATCAAGATAAACTCACAATATAGAATATGCCTTTAGCCACTAATTTTAGTTATATTTCGATAAAAATTTCCCTGCGCTAAAACAATAAAAAATAACGTTATTCAATTTTTTAGAATGCTTTCGCGCAAAACTGCATACAGCACCTGATACAAATTTCAGGTACAATCAATCGAAAAAAGGATAAATTGCAGGTTCTACATGTCTTGTGTTGTACAGAAAACAGCGGTTCGTGGGCGTTTTCTTGATATTAAAAATACCGTTTCTCAAGCAACTCAAATATTAGATCAAGTTCGTTATATCGAAGATGGTTTACTGATCACAGAGCAAGGCAAAATCACATGGTTTGGCCCTTGGGAAGATGCACAGTCTCACCTGACAGATGATATTCAAATTGATCACTACCCAGAACAACTGATTGTGCCTGGTTTTATTGACACCCATATTCATTTTCCACAAACAGAAATGGTGGGTGCATATGGTGAACAACTTTTAGAATGGTTAAATACCTATACTTTTCCAACAGAAATTCAGTTTGCAGATAAAACCTATGCCGACAAAATCGCACAGTTTTTTGTCCAAGAATTACTTAAAAATGGTACCACGACGGCACTGGTTTTTTGTACAGTACATCCCCAATCAGTCGATGCCTTATTTGAAGCCGCAGAACAGCATCAGATGCGTTTAATCGCAGGTAAAGTCATGATGGACCGTCATGCACCTGAAGCACTCACAGATACTGCTGAAAGCGCATATATTGACTCTAAAGCACTGATTGAAAAATGGCATGGTAAAGGTCGTAACCTATATGCCATTACTCCGCGTTTTGCTCCAACCTCTACACCTGAGCAATTGGCAAAAGCAGGGCAGTTAAAAGCAGAGTATCCAACGGTATATGTGCATACCCATCTTAGTGAAAATAAAAATGAAATTGCATGGGTCAAAGACTTATTCCCAGAGCAGAAAGGTTATCTGGATGTCTATCACCACTATGGTTTAACAGGAGAGCGTTCTGTTTTCGCACATTGTGTTCATTTAGAAGAGCATGAGTGGGATTGCATGCATGCAACTGATTCAGCGATTGCATTTTGCCCGACATCAAACTTATTTTTGGGAAGTGGTTTATTCCCATTAAAAAAATCTTGGGAAAAACAGGTCAAAGTCGGCTTAGGAACTGATATTGGTGCAGGAACAGCCTTTTGCCAATTACAAACCCTCAATGAAGCCTACAAAGTGCAACAACTCCAAGGTGATAAACTTTCGGCAATGGAATCACTTTACCATGCAACGCTTGGTGGAGCGAAAGCGCTGCATTTGGATGAGCAATTGGGCAATTTCAATATCGGTAAAGAAGCCGATTTTGTTGTGCTAGATTTAAAAGCAACGGCGCTACAACAACTGCGTCAGGAACGTGCTAAAAACATAGACGATGCATTATTTGCCTTATTTACCATGGGGGATGATCGCAATATTCAAGCCACCTATATTTATGGACAAAAAGCCTATGAGCAAAACCAAACAAAAACCGCGTAAATCAAAGAAAAAACTGATTTTGATTGGTACAGTTTTTGTGATCTGTGCGTTCGTTTTAAAACGTGATGCACATTGATCATTTCGGCTTAAATTAGGGCATTTACATTTTCAAATGTCAAAAAAGATGCATCTTGATCTGATATGTTTTAAAATTATGCCATCTTTTAGGGTGTTGCTAGTCAACACCTTTTTTAATTTTAGAATTTGATGTTTAGGTTTTTAGGTATTTCCCATGACTATTGAAATGAAAGTGATGATTTCTGCTGAAGAAATTCATGCAAAAGTTCAGGAACTTGGTAAAAAAATTGATGCGCATTATGCCAATAGCGATAAAGAGCTTGTCTTAATTGGTTTATTGCGTGGTTCAGTGATTTTTATGGCTGATTTATGTCGTGCAATCAGCAAGACTCACGAACTCGATTTTATGACCGTTTCAAGCTATGGTGGCAGTACAACATCTTCTCGTGATGTCAGAATCCTCAAAGATTTAGACGGCGAAATTCGCGGTAAAGATATCTTAGTCGTGGAAGATATTATTGACTCTGGCAATACCTTAAGCAAAGTATTGGAAATTTTAAGCACACGTCATCCCAACTCGATCGAGCTGTGTACTTTAGTCAGCAAACCGTCTCGCCGTGAAATCGATTTAGATGTGAAATTTCTGGGCTTTGAAGTTGAAGATAAATTCATTGTGGGCTATGGCTTAGACTACGATCAAAAATACCGTCATATTCCGTTTATCGGGGAAATTGGTCTTTAATTGAGACTTCACCACATCATTTTAACTAAAATGAGTTAAGCGACTTCGGTCGCTTTTTTTATTTTTTCAGCTTTCATGGTGAACAAAAATGCAACAACTTGTAGCAAATAAGCGCTTTTACTTCCCTAGATAATATTTGATTATTAAACTAATTCGATGCAGTAACTCACGACAAAATAAAGAAAAAGGAGAAAGATTATGATGTCACTGATTAGTGCAATTGTGATTGGTTTTATTGCTGGTTTAATTGCACGTGCAATTCACCCAGGTGATGACAAAGCTGGCTTCATTGTAACAACAGCACTCGGTATTGTAGGTTCATTGGTTGCAACCTATGGTGGTCAATTACTCGGCCTATATCCAAAAGGTGCATCAGCTGGATTTATTGCCTCAGTCATTGGTGCAATAGTGGTACTCTTTATCTATAACATGATTGCCAAACGTACTTAAATTTTCTCCTCAATATAAAAAGCACCCTCGATGGGTGCTTTTTTACGCTGTCAGCATTCTAAGCGCTGTTTATAATCCAAAATTTTTCCATATTTTCTCAATTTCTTCGGCAGGGTAGGCACCCATCACCTTATAACCATTTGAGAAAATAATTGCAGGTGTCCCATGCAAACCTAATTTTTTACCCAATTCCAAATTACGCTCGATTGGCGTTGCACAATTTGCTGGTGCAGTTGGTTTGATCCCATTTTGAATCAAATTTTTCCATGCATATTCTTTATTTGCAGAACACCATACTTGCTTAGATGGCAAAATCGATTGTGCTTTGATGGAATAGATAAATGTATAAATTGTCACATCATTGAGCTTGGCTAAATTCCCTTCAAGCGTCTTGCAATATGGGCAATTTGGGTCAGAAAAGATTGCAAGCTGACGCTTACCATTCCCCCTGACTGTTTTTACAGCATCATTCAAAGGTAATGCTTTAAAATCTATCGTATTTCCTTTAACTGCTAAATCTTTGGTTAAATTATGCTGATCTTTCAAACGAATCATTGAACCAATAAATAAATGCTGAGCATCCTCATTGACATAAACAATTTGACTATCCAAGGTCCCACTATATAAACCCTGCATTTCTGTTGTTTGCAGGTTATTAATTTTTACATTGGGATACTGCTGTGCTAATTTTGCTTTCACAGTCTCAACACTGGCAAAACCAGCTGTACAAAAAGCCAGACTTAAGCTCAATGCGATAAATTGCTTTAACATAAATCGATAAAATCAAAATAAATATTGAGATGCATTAAAGCATAATTCATCAGCTGACTTGTTTAAAAACTGTGATTGATCCTTATCTCTGTTCGCAATTGTTCTCTACCGATCACAGTACCTTGAACTGTTAAAAAAGCTGTACTTTATTCTTGCTCAGGTTTCACGTGAAACCCAACTAAACATCGCGGTTTTGTTGATTTCAACAGAAATATGCACCAATTGTTTATGAATAGATAAAGCGTGGCGTACCTGATCAGCATTTAAATTTTTATCATTGGATTCAAGCGCTAAAATCACTGAAAATTTGGCTTTAGCGACTTTCCATACATGAATATCGGTTATTTTTGCTTCAACATTTAGATGCTCAATCACTTCACGTACTTCATCGACTACAGGATGATCCATTTCCGCATCTAATAATGTTTGCGCCGTTTCTTTGATTAAACCATATGACCAACGCCCGACTAAAATGGCCCCAACAATACCCAATACAGCATCTAAAAAATCCCAACCCAAATACTTTGCAGCAAAAAGAGCAATAATCGCCAAGACAGAGGTCAGTGCATCTGCAACCACATGTAAAAACGCAGCTTTTTGATTTAAATCATGTCCATGATGGTCATTATGCGTATGTGAATGATGGTGATGGTGATGGTGATGGTGATGGTGATGGTGATGGTGATGGTGATGGTGATGGTCAGCATGATCGTGTAATAACCATGCACAAACCAAATTGACCAGTAAACCTAAAATAGCAATCAAAATCGCTTCATTATAATGAATCTGTACAGGATGAAATAAACGTACTAACGACTGGAAGGCCATGAATAAGGCCACCACCATCAATAGAATTGCACTGCTATAGCCAGCAAGAATTTCAATTTTCCATGTACCAAAACTAAAACGAGAATCCTGCGCATAATAGCGAGCAGCTCGATAAGCAGCATAAGCCAAACCTAATGCCAGCATATGCGAACTCATATGCCAACCATCTGCGAGTAAGGCCATGGAATTAAAAATCCAGCCTCCCGCAATCTCAAAAATCATCATCAATCCAGTCAAAATGGTCGCCCATAAGATTTTCTTTTGTGCTAAAGGATTACCTTGATCAAATTGATGGCTATGCTTTCGCTGAATGGTCTTGAATTGCATGAGGCGTGATCCTATATACTCCCCATGAGTATATAATTTCAATTTAAAATATACTATAAGGGAGTATATTAAATAACGGATTAATTTATGAGTCATTTACATCAAGATAAAAAAGTCCTCAATCGAGTGAAACGACTAAAAGGGCAAATTCATGCGATTGAAGAAGCTTTGGTTGATCAGAGCAGCTCATGTATCAGCGTTTTACAGCAAGTTGCAGCAATTAAAGGTGCCGTGAATGGCTTAATGAATGAATTGATTGAGCAGCATTTAACCGAGCATGTGATTAAAGACACTCAAGCCGTGGATGAAGCTGAATTACAAGAATTTTTAAAGCTGCTCAAACGCTATTCATAACTCAATTCACAGTCATCTGTGCTTGAATGTTTAAGTTTCCATTGACCCTTTACTGATTAAGTTTTAATCTTTCCATACTCAATTCCTTCCATGCCGAACTTTGTATTGAACAGGTTTGGCATTTTTATCTGCAAAACATTTGCATTTGAAGTCCTATATTTATGAATCAACAATCATGGCGTTCATTTTTAATGATCAGCCTAGCCTTATGTATTGGTACGATTGGTACGGCGCTCGCTAGCCCCTTATATCCAATTTATCAACAACTTTGGCAATTACTCCCAAGCCAGATCACCTATATTTTCGTGGCCTATATGTTTGGTTGTTTAACCACATTATTATTTTTAGGACGTAGCAGTAATAGTTTTGGTTTTATTCGTACCTTACAAATCGGGCTATTGTTTGCTGTGATTGGCCTAACACTGTCGGTGTTTGCATCAACCACCTATTTGCTTGGATTTGGGCGCTTTATCATTGGTATTGCCTCTGGGTTGATCAGCACCTCTGCAATGTTAGGTTTGATTTATACCATTCCTGACTCACATAAGCAGAATGCCGCACAGTTAAGTTCAATTATTACCGTGATTGGCTTTGGACTGGGCCCGTTTATTGGTGGCGCAATCGCACAATTTTCTGATCGCCCACTTGTCACACCTTATTTACCCGTAATTGTTGCAGCAATCATCAGTTTGATGAGTTTATTTACGATTAAAACCATGAGGTTTGAAAGGCAGCCATTTTCTATTGCACCCCACTTACAACTGCCAGAAGCTCAATTTAAAAAACTGTTTTATATCGCCAGTTTTACCGCATTCTGTGCTTTTGGCTCATTTAGTTTATTTGCTTCATTAGCACCTTCCTTTATTCGAGATGTGATTCCTTGGCATGGACCATTGGTCAGTGGTGCAACCATTGCCAGTATCTTAATGGTTTCTGCGATCGTCCAATTTATAGCAAAGTCTTTTGATATGCATAAAGCATTGAATACAGGCTTAGTCTTATTGATTTCCAGCTATATTATCTTATCGATCTGTATGACCATGCATTGGAGTTTCTTATTCTTTTTGAGTGTGGTTTTGGTCGGAATGGGGCATGGTTTAACGTTACTGAGTGCTTTTGCATTGATTCACCACATGACCAATGTTGAAAATCGGGCAGCTGTGGTTTCCACTTATTTGTTTATTGCCTATTTTGGTACAATTGTGCCGATCATTAGCGCAGGCTTTTTATCTGATCATTTCGGTTTAATGGTTGGTGTTTTAGGCTTTTGTGCAGGAATTGGTATCTTATGTATTTATTTATTGCACGGACACGCCATTTAGACGCAATGAAGCGTACTCAGCACTATCTTACAGAAGCACATGAGCAACTTGAGGTCTATCATGCGGGTGAACTGGTCGCTGAATCGTTACGTTTAGCACAGA